GGAGAAGAAATCAAAAGACTATCACCGCCACAGGAGGTGTCCTATTTCAGGATGCAAATCAGTGGTTAAGCGCCTGTCAAATCACATTCAACAAGTTCACAAAGAGATTAAAAAGGGCTATCCTGTTTGCAAACAGATGCTTAAAGAAGCCCGCTCACTCAAGACCTGGAAACCATCGGGGGCAGCACAAGACAACCCCAAAGTTAAACATGAAGACAACTTTTCAGAAGAGGAAAGTATGACGGATGATGAGCCTCCTCATAATTTGCATGTGCATGTAGAACCACATGAAGAAGAAAATGAACTGAAATGTCAACAGAACCTTTGAGTAATGCCACATTAATTTTGTTTTAATACACTTCTTTTCTATGCAGAGCAAAGAAATGATATTCTTAGCTTTTGAATCAAACCTAATATTGAATACAACCATGTACATTAATGTACAGTGTGTAAATTACGTACACAAAAAATTATTCTTTAGTAAGTTCTTCATTGTTCCTTGTATTTTGCTCAAGGAATAAAGTATAGTCTGTATGCATTACATCTTATTTTGGATGCTGGAAAATGAAATTACTTTTGGCTAGTTTTAGTTCTGCATGATTAAATAGACACATGTTGAAGGCAATTTAAAGTTAACGCTACTGACATCATGATGTTACACACTGTCAATCAGTCCTTAACAAATAAAACATAATACGTTCAACTCAACTGTTTTCTTACTTATTTGGTGCCACTATAAGTTTAATTCCTCTGTAATTTTGAGAACTGCTCCTTCTCAAAATCTAGGGCAACGTACTCCGTTGCTTTAAGTCGATTTTGTCTCTTCATCACTAAGATGGTATAAGAGATTACATAACGCTTTCTTGGTCAGATCTAGAGCCGAGGTGAATGAAATCTTTCAAGTTGAGCAAGTTTGGCACATTGTCATGATACAGTTTAAGAGAAGCTGCAAAATTTGACAGTGACAATGTAAACTGCAATCATGGGATTTCCGTCTATTGAAGCGCTGAACTTACTCGAAATGTAATTCAGTCAAACCCTAAAACTGTCGCAACGTTAACTATAGAAGCTTTTAGAAGCTGACAATGAATAATTATGCAACTAAAAAGACACAAGACTAGTATAGACACCCGAGAACGAGTGTAACTAATGTGCGAATGCACTGCGAGCCGGAGCCGCGAGCCGCGAGCGTATTTTTGCGAGCCACTGTGTTTTTTTTTTTTCTTTTGAGTTTTTAATTTAACGTTAACGTTTTACTCAGTAAATGCTACACTTGGCAGAAGAAAGAATAAACGTTTTCGATTTTCTTTCGCGCGTGAAATTTCGCGCAGGTAGTTTTTCCATCTGTATCAAAACGGATTTTGAAGTTTCAGATATGAATGAGATGAATGAGCTATGAATGAGTTTCCTTCGCAAATTTTCGTATCAAAATGTTGATTATGCAAAATTGACTAGCATTCAAATACAAACAGGGAAACGTTCAAGTGAGGCGAATTTTACGTAATTGTCATCGAGAAACTCCGCCACGAAAGATGCATAATTTATTTATTTATTTATTTATTTATTTATTTTTTGGTTCCCAGTTGTCCGTTGTTTTGTCTCTTGGGAAACCAGGCTCTTAATTGTCTTTTTTTTTAATAGTTCTCCTGTAATACTGGACGACTGCTTATTTCGAACAATTCAAAAGTTTGGGGATAAAACCCATCCGCCCGGCCCAGTGAGAGTCAGTACAATCTACTGTGCTGAAAAAATCACAACTCCTTGCAAACTAATTAAAGATCAAGCAAAAGTTAACCTCTGTACCAAACTTGTGAGGTACACCTTAACTCGCACACTCACAACGTACTTGTACTCGACAAATCCTTGTTTAATTCTCTTCCAGTGTTACAACGCGTCCTATTTTCTGTGTTTTCTCGATAAAAATCTATTTCACAATCACTCGTAGCTTGCAGCTACGAGTACCAAAAAGTTCCATTATGCCAAAGATTCCTGAAATTTCGGACAGTCGGAAGTCAAATGGAAATTTCTTCCGACCGGAATATTCGAGGTCACTTCTGGAGGTGGTCCACTTATTTCGGTCACACCGGTCCGACCGAAATTTGCCGTTACATTTTTGACAAACCTCTTCACTGCCCTACTTCTCTTCCCTTATGTAGGAATTCGGAAAAGGAATAAAAAATGGTAAGAGTCCGATTCCTCTTGGTTGACCCTGTTTGATCGTATTGGATCTATATTGGCATAATGGAAGCCCCCCTTCATGCCCGTTTTTCGACTTTTTGATGGGAATCTTTCGAGGTTCGCAAAAAGAGACTCGTGGCTCGCAGCTCGAGGCTCGCAAAATAACTCACACTTCCATGTCCAAGCGAAAAGCGAAAATTCACGCTTCCATGTCCAAGTTGGAACATTCTAGTAAAGATATCACGTCGGAGGACTGCTTAAAGGCATCTTTCCATGTTCAATGTTGCAAATCTTTCTTACTACACTAACCAACAAGGTCAACATCGCTCAAAACTCTGCTTCTGTTTTTAAGTCTCTCGCACATGTTTCCCATACCATACGTCATAAACTACTAAAGTGATCGCTGACCCACCCATTCTGAGCCGCAATGCCAATAGCCTAAAATCACAGTAAAAGCTATTTTTTTTTTGAAGTCAAAAAAAGGCCGAAATGAAAAAAAAGTTTAAAACATCAATATAAAACAATCGTGGACAAAAGTCCTTGAGACACTTAATTTACGAATTTTCTGTGTTTTACTACTGAAGTTTAAAAGCGCTGCTTTCCATTTAAAAACGCGTTACTACCCCCCGCCCCCCGCCTCCCACCCAACACAGTGTTGAAAATCAGAAGAAATTGCAGGTAGTAGTTTTCGACATTGTATGGGGGGTGGGGGGCAATGTTAACCAGTAGTATTCGCCTCCCGCGTGTGCGCAAAAGCGCCAAAAGTGTAAATTTGTCCCAAGACTTTTGTCCATGATTGTAGATCTAAACCATAAGAAAAAAAATACTTGATTTTTGCCTTCAGTTCTCCTTTAAAGGAAGAACTGTTTCTAGCATACCTCATTAATTCCCCTTTAACAAAGGCTTTCTTATTGCTAGGAGGATGAAACACCTCGAAGGGTATGTACAGGTTTTTGTTTAGAGGCTTCTGAAAGGTTGAAAATTGCAGCACGCTCGAAAAATTATCTCTATAGAGAAATAGATCCAGAAAAGAAATGCTACTATCGCTAGTGCAATAAGTAAGCTTAAGGCGATCGGTTTTGTTGTTAAGAGAGCCTAGAAATTCTAGTAGGGTATCTTTGGGCCCACACCAGATAACAAAAATGTCATCAATAAACCGTTTGTATAACGGATACTGGGAGTAATGCTCTACAATATCTTTCTCGTGATGATACATAAAAGCGTTCGCTACTGTGACTGCAAAAGGAGTGCCCATAGCTATACCAAACTCTTGATGAAACATATCCGGGCTAAATTTAGAAGATAAATAGTTGTTTTCAAAAACAAGTCTGGCGAGCTGAATCAATAGTGGGGTCTCAGGAATCCTTGCTTACCGAAGGAGAGAGTCAAGGACGACTAATACCTTCTTGGTGTCCACGTTAGGATAGAGCGATACAACATCCGTCGTAACCAGGAAACAATCCGTATTGGGCAATACCCTGCTCTCTAGTAATTGAATAAGCTCACCCAAGTCCCTAAGTACAGTAGGCATGCGTATTTTAGGCTTAATGAGCTCGTCAACAAAAATACTTATAGGCCTAATAATATAGGAATGGGAGGCGGCAATAGGCCTACCCACCATCGGTCATCATCGGGTCTTTGTGGATCTTAGGGATAATATGAAATTTTGCCGAACTAACAAAATGTTCGAAACTACGCAAAAAGCGAGCTACGTTAGAGAAAATAAATCTACTATAGATAGACATAAGCTTTTCGCAAGAGCTAATAACATTAAGACGATTATCATACCAGTCCTGTTGTGTGACTTTACCATATGACAGCTCGTTATGCAAATGTCTAAGTGTCTCGGCTTGGACCCAATCCGTAGACAAAAGAGCTGGCCCCAGAATTTTGTCTGTAGGCAAAACTCTGATGCTAAGATTGAATTTCAGTTCGTGAAGTTCTTCTCGCTCCTGCTTTGTGAGATTGTTCCTCCAATGCGGTTTGCCAACCACAATGTTCTTTCGTAGTTCTTTGCGTAACGTAAAGAGTTTGTCTTCAAGATCTGGATTTTAGCTAAAACCGTTGCCCCCAAAACTCTATCACGCCTTGCGTAAATATTTCACAGCTTCCCCTGTTCCCTTTCGTAAATCCGGCCAAACCTTTGTGGTTTGTGGCCATCGAAATAGTTGCCACTAAATACAGGCGTTTAATGTATGTTTGTAAAACTCCCTAAAGAAGTCTACGATAGTTAGGCAAAACGCGTCGGAGAATAAACAAGTTTTACAACTGCAGTTCACATAGTGCTGCTCACTAGTTTACCTTTTAAAAATATTGTATTAAAAAAATTGTCTTAAAAAAATTGTTTTAAAAAAATTGTTTCAAAAAAAAATGTCTTAAAAAATTGTTTTAAAAAAATTGTCTCAAAAAAATTGTTTAAGAAAATTGTCTAAAAAAAATAGCCGTTTGGTGTCGGATTCGTTGTTACTTCACTATAAATGACACAAAAACTCACAATCCATGTATGGGAAGTGCACAAACAGAATCATGGATCTTAGTGGGTCGACAGTGTGGCACTGTTTGGTTCAAGCAGATTGCAGATCAAAGTCTCTACTTTTAAGCAAACGGTATTTTACAAGGCTGATGTGAAGGCTCTTCAAAACGCTCATGTGCCAAGTCTAAAAGGCTTCCGCTAACCCAGAGGGCTGCCGAAATAGTAACTACAACTGCAACTGAAATGTGTCTTTTCCATCTTCTTTGCCAAACAGCCATTACAGCTATATTCTGATAGCGAGTCTCAATCGCTAGAGAGACGCTGGTGAAAAACCACTCGATCACCAGTTGAACTGAAGTTGTGATAGCAAAAGACTGTAGCAGTTCTAAAAGGGAATAGTCTTTTAAGTATATATATTGATACAAGTACAAAACGCCGTTAACAGACACTATAGCAGTTGATTCAAACAACATGCTCATGATAGCAATATCAGCCATTAGCCTCTCACGGCGAGGAGTACGAAAACTTCCCCAAGGAGCTGATGTTCTTTTGCAGATCATATTACAAATGTGATCAATCAGAACCATCGTGCTTCGTTCGATGACTTCTGTGGCGCCGTGAATCAATCCAAGAACAGCCATGGATTGTAAATTGTCAAGATCGGCTTGCAACACTCGGAACATAATCGCTGAACAACAATACAGTGGCGCTATTGAGGCACACGCATATCCCGAATGGGTAATGCTGCTTAGCCGCTGAACAAAAATTCGCGAGATCACTTTAAATAGGACTCCAACGAGAGGAGCGAAGAGTGCGATTACCAGGCGCAGTTTACTTTCCGTACTTTTCTTGTTATAAAGTGGGTAAATAATACATTTCACAGCAATGGCAAGAATTACAATAGATCCGCAGGGAGCCGTCATTTGTAAGAATAAAGCCATCTGCTCTCTTCTTGTCTGTCGCAGATGACGGAAGTGATTCGTTAGAAGATAGGCTTGCCAACACACACCCATAAAAAACAAAACATAAAGTGGAATTTTTTGCAAAGTAGAAAGCTTGGAATGAGATATTCCCAAGGCTTGTAGAACCACTCGATAACTTGTGTCCAAGAAATATGCAAGGCAAGCAACTAGGATCAGTTTTCCTTTCACCTTCATTAACTGATATGGGCGAAAAAGAAATAAGGTGACTACAAAGAACGAAGCGTATAGAAAAACACAAGCGACTGCGTCAGAAATTGATCTCATCCATTGGACGTGTACTGGGATGGACCTCTTTAGGTGAAATTCACAGTTGTTTACAGTTTTAAAACATAAATATGAGATCAACATGTATACTGAACCAATGATTGTAGCAGTTAGTAAAGAAATCAAAGCTCCAATGTACATTGATTTACCAACCGTTCGGAAAGCGGATGGTCTGAGTCGCTTCCAGGCCATTGCTGTATCTTCATTTTGCTGATCTTCCTGTGTTTCTTCATTCTCCTCTGGCAAACTTGCGTCTGTGAGGCTTGCATTAATTCTGCTGGAGCTTATGAAGTCTAAAGTTGTGGCTTCTCTGTCGCTGTATTCTTGATAAATACACTCCTCATCAGGATCTCCGTGACGATACCATTCTTGGCCAGTGCTTTCCAGAGGACTGTAGCCAAACGACTCTGCCATGTATTCAGGTTCCTGTGGGTTGTAGTGCTCTGTCACTGCTCGTGTAAAACTGAACAGGATATGACCAAATACCTCGATCAGTGTGCTGCTACTCATTGTGTTTGGTTGGGAGATCAGTTGAACAAATATTGTAAAACCCAAGTAGTATATTAATTAGTCAGTGTAGGAGCCCGTTTCCTTATCGACACTGATGATCTTAGGAGAACAGCAAGCAGCATAACTGAAATTTGGTGACAATCGCAGTTGACAAACTATGTCTTCCTGTGTTATTTGCTACAGTTTCGTTCCAAGCATTTTGTCGAGAAATCAGCGGGCCGTATCACTGTTGTCTGTTTCGTCCGTTAAAGTTATACTTTCGAAATTTCATTTTTTTATGAAAAAAGGTTGTTTTTTGTTCCCCCTGTTAAATAAATATCTATAACTAAAACCCTAAAGTTTCCACTTAAAAATCTAAGTAAAAAGCATGTAGCCCAATAATGATCAATCTATTAGCTGTTCGTGTAAGGTTTTTTATTTGGCAAATCATAGAGTAAGCATTTTCTTTTCTTCTTAGAAAGCCGTTTTCACAGAGACTAAAGCCAGATCTTCGTGTATGCTATATTGAAATTTTCAAGCCAAAAACTTAAATTTAATTTGTTGATCTGATAGCATGATAACTTGGAATGAATTTTTAAGCAAAAGGAACTGTGTTTTTAAAGTGTTCTCAAACATCTTTTAGTGGTTTGAACTTGGCTGCATTTTCTGTCAGTGGCTGGATCGAAGCACGTCATTCTTCTCGACCCGTGCGTCCATGGATCGAAACTTACTTTTCTTCTCAGCCTTTTTCTAGCTTTTTTTCCAGCATATGCAATTTTGCCTCACGACAAACTTAACACAATGAACCCTGAACACCTTTATCAGCGTGTTACTCATGTCTGCTTGGTTCAACGAACTACTTAAAGTCATGGTTTGAAATTTCAAAGTGGATTGACTGTGCGCACAAGAACTATAGCTACTGTTACTTTTAGCTGAATAACTGGATAATTGCGGGGATTCCAAAGTGCTTTTCGAAATCTTTGGTCAACAAGTTTCAAACTGATGTGAAGTTTATATGAAATAATTCATATATGAACTGCGGTTGTAGATGAAAGTGAAGAATGATCATCGCAGTTAATTTTCCAATTTAAGCAATT